GAAACCACTGAAAATAAAATAAAAATAGGACACAGATAAAACTGTCAGTAATTTTATCCTACTTATTCATGCACCTAGATAACCAAGTTTGAAAAGACTGATGAAACCTTTTCGTAACAAAGATAAACACACAGGATGAGTTTATTTGCTACTACAAAACAAACACTACTGAACTAAGTTCAAACAGATTAAGTCCCGAGTGAGCTGATAAGATAGACACACACAGGCATTCAGTTACATGCATGCATAAGTCTAAACATGTAAAATCTGACTATAGTAGTTTTGAAATTTCAAATGCCATTGCAACGTAATAAAGCATGAGAAAATGTTAGAACAAGTTTTATTCAAGCTACCAGGAATGTGAAACCTTGAACAGCATTTAAAAATCAGTAATAACTCTGTTGTAAGTCTCAGATATATTTAGAGTCCATAAAAATCAGGTACTGCTATTAAGTGGATGTACTTAACTTGTGTGAGTCCATGGAAAATTACAAACACACACAAAAATGATCTTTGACCCACAAGGTAGGCCCAATATAAACAGTATGAAACAGAATTGCTGGCCATAACTCAGACCTCTCTGCCTACTTGCTATGGCTACGGGGTCCATCTGCTGCCTACAGCAGACTATCTTCCCCTGCCAACCTGTATTTTGCTCTGTCAGCCTGTTTTTCTCTTCCTCATTAAACTTTGTTTCACGATTGCCTTAAAAAACCAACAACCCACCCCCCAAACAAATGGAAAAATCCACTGGATAAATGTGGAAAAATATTCTAAATCACCATGACTTGGAAATAACTATTACATTTTATATTATCCATCCAACTATTCTTCCCCATTAGGGATTATCACTTCTGATTAATATAATTCAGAGTAATTTCTATCATTAAATTTGTAAGGAGCCTTAAAAACTTTTTTAAATTTTTTCTGTAAATGTAAAGGCATCATAGAACATTTTTATAAATGTGTCAGAATATAAATACACAAACATGGAAACCTTTCAAATAAGTAAGGAATAGAAATTCAGGAATACTGTGCTCTCACTTTAGGCAATGGAGAGGTCCAGGAGACACTACTCGGTTGACACTGGCTCCAGCCATTGTATTCAGATGAACTTCAGAAATATAAAGCGTCACAGAAGATGACTGCAGTCGTGTTTTTACAACTTCCAGCGGACATGTCAGAATAGCTCCCACTGTACCACCACATCTACAAAGAAAATGAGAACAAAATTTATCTACTTGATTCTTAAGTTAGTACATAAGCCCGGAGCTGTAAAAACCGAGTAGGTACCTGGAATTTTGTCAACATTCTAAAATTTAAAATTGTTAATGATTTTAGAAGACTAAATAATTTTTTTAAAGTTTCACTTATTTGACAGCATATAAACGCTTTCAGTAGCTGCAAAGAACAGAACTTAATACCTACTGAGCAAAAATAATAGAAGACGACTTTGATTGGTAGGTGTTATTACTACTGATAACGCCTGGTGACTTACTAGTTAAGTTCCATCAGAGCTTTAAATAATGTTGTAAATACTGTTTATTTACTATTGATGTAGTACTTATGTGTGACTTGTGCTGCGGAAACCTAGATCATTCTTTAAGGTATATCCTATCTTGTAGGCTCCTATAACTCAAGAGATAGTCTTCTGAGCAATTAAGAAATAATTCACTGGCCCGGTGCCTATAGCTCAACTGGCTAAGGTGCCAGTCACGTACACCTAGGGTGGCGGGTTCGAATCCCCAGCCTGGA